CCCCAAAACCCCAAAACCCCAAAACCCCAAAACCCCAATTTTATTTAAAATTTTTGAAAGAATAAAAATATGAACCCATACAGACTGAGTCAGTCTTATCAAGAGGAATCAAGTGAGAGAAGTCACTCCCACTATTCATATAAACCTGAGAAAAAACGAGGAGAAAGCCAGGATGGTCCTTCTCCAAGATCTCATGTAGATATTGAGGAGGAGAAGGTACCTTCTTCACTTCAAGATGAATCAATACATATGAGTGAGCTGGAGATTTCTCGTGATCAAAATCCTATATCCAAGGAATATATACCTTCTTTAGAGGCAGACCTTCCCAAAATACAGTCTTCGCGAGAACTTTTTAATAGCACTGTAAATATTGAAGGTAAGAAAACTTTATTGGAGATGGAAGAAAAACGCAAGAAGCGTAAGCTCAGACAAGCCCAGAAGCACTTCAGAGGCAGTAGTTTTGGACAAGGGAGTGCTCCTAAAAATCTTCCTGAGTCCTTAAAATCCTACGAATATGGGTCAAATGGTTATGCTCGAGAAGACAGTAGTGATAATACAGGGGATGAAGAAATTATTCCTGCTAGTATTGAATCCTTAAAATCCAAAATTAACAAAGCGGTTTCAAGCAAAGAAACTAAAAAGGTTAATCTGACTGACAAATAAAGTCGGCCCAGCTATCGTCTCTGATCTCATAAAGTGTGTCTCAAATGTTAGCAATGAAGACATGCTTGAGTATATCATTGATATTGAGAAAGAAAAGCACGACCTTGAAACCAAGTTTTCAGATGATTATAAGAAAATGAAGAAACAATTGGTTGAAACAGTCGCAGAATTAGATCAGGCTAAAGCATCCTATAGAGATCTGTTATCTAAATTTAGTGGCAAAGAAATACAGATTCGTGGATATAGACTTGCCTTGAACAATGCAAATGAGCTCTTGTACGAGGTTATCGATCAGATAGAAAATAGTATCTCCCATGCTAGTATTCCTTTAAAAGGATTTATCAATTCCATGAATATGAAAATCATGAAATTATTAGAAAATAGTACAAAGGAACTACATACCTTAACAGATATAAATCCTCAATCAAGTTATATTGAATCAGAGAAAAATCCGAAAGACCCTATTGAGGATGCATTTAATCACCTAAGATCTTTATTAACTTTCCAGACATCGTTAAAGAAGTCTTCAAGGCATCTCTCTGATATTGGAGATGCTGATCAGCCCTCAAATCCCAAATCAAACCAAGATTTTTCTCCTCTATCATCTCATCGTAAGAAGTCTCCAGAAGTGATTAGGAATATTTCAAATAATTCTGAAAAATCTATAAAGGAACGTAAATAAATCAGCAAGGTCTAAGAAACGTACCGAGGGGTTGCAGAATCAGACAGAAGTAGTCTCCTCAGTGAGATATCGAGGAAATTGGAATGCTGCAAGCGAAATAGGATCACTTTTGAATTCGAGCCTACATCATCACCGCAAGTCAGAAACTCCAGCTTCAATTTCACAGACAACTCCGTCAAGAAGTCGTTCGAAAGATCGCAAAAAGAAGACTGTAACCAAAATTTCTCTTTATTATAAAAATATCTGTGGATTTTCCCAAAATTTTTACTAATGTGGGAATATTAAAGCACTCACATCAAAATAGCGGCAAAATTTATCAAGTGAACTTTAGGATTGTATTTTATTATTTTCCTTCCTTCTAACCTTTATACATAGAAGAAGAACCCGAAGTCACCATCAAGATTCGACTTGAGTATTAAGCCAAAAGCAAAACTTCGGAAATCAATGCCATCAAATTCGAAACCTAAGAAGCCAAAGGCGAAGCCTAAAGAAGAAGTTGGATATACGTCTAAATGTTCTTTTAAAAGAAGCAAGCGACCATCGACTTCGCCTAGTCGATAACCTTAAGGAATTTTGTTGCTGAATTAATAGAGTTTAAAAGAATTAAAGGGGTGTTTTAACATCTTGCAGCTTTTCTTTGTAATCCTAGCCTCTCACTGTAATTTTTCTACATTAAAATTACTGATGGTTAGGTACACTTTGTGACAATTTTCTACGAATCATAATTAATACCATCTCCACTCCCTGAATTCACTGCCCTCTTGTACATATTTGATCATTCAATAAAGGATAAATAATCTGGGGTTTTGGGGTTTTGGGGTTTTGGGGTTTTGGGG